TCAGGTAACGGTTAAAATGGAATTCTTTCTCCAGCTCCAGAGTCTGGTAGCGTGTATAAGTCTGCCGGCCTCGCCTGCCACTCGGCCCAAAGGAGGAACCTGGTGGGGATGGAGAAGATGACAAGCGTGTGCTACTGAACATTTACTGGAATTACACATATACAACATGCCAATGTCTATGCTAAGTGCCAGAGTGTGTTGTTGTGTTTGTGGGTGTGCACGCGTGTGTGTGTGCGCGTAGGTGGGGGGGGGGGAGAGAAGACCTATTTCCTGCAGTAATCTCCCTACTCCAAGTGGCCCCGCTCTCTTGTTTCCAACCCTTAGCGACCAAAACCCACTGTCCTAACTAATACAAGGGAAAATCGAACCCACTCCTAATTAGCTTTAGCTTCGAGCTTGGGGACATTTCTTTTTTCCAGAATAATTCTGTTTCACGTTTTAATTGAAAAGTTGGAGATACACTTCCCAGATGCCTGCCCCTGGCTGAGTCTCACTGGGCACCCAGATATCTCAGATCAAAAACTTGCAACTCCACCATGCAATCTGTTTTGTTTGTTTGCTTGTTTATCTTTTTCAATGAGAGGATAAAACTTTGGAAAACAATGCTGTAACCCAGAAGCTTATTGTTTCTCGTTTTGTTGGGAGGGGGGGGGGCAGTTGAGCGAACTGCTTCTTCACCCAAAGACACTGTCTTTCTCTCCCTGCAAACTGGAGTGCCCTCCTGAGCAGTATTCACAGGGACTAAAATTGCTGCGCTGGGACACTTGCTTGGGAATAAATCCCATTCTTCGCCTGCTGCAGTTTTCAGGAGAAATAGGCTCTGAAATAGTCTTTGAACGTGCTGTGGAGCTTTCAAAAGCAGCAGAACGGGAAGTGGCTTAAAAGTGGGGGGGGGGGGTATTTAAACGAAGATGAATGACAACACTCCTTCACAGAGTTGCGTTTCTAAGAGCAATGGCGTAAAGGTTAATATGTCGGTAGATAAACAGATAGATGGATATAAATATATATAAATATAGATACATATGTGTGTGTGTATACACACACACATATACATATATCCTCTCTTTTATTTCTATATTCTCTTCCCCTCCGCTATTCAGTTCTAATTGCTTTAGTCTCCACAACTTAAGTGAAATACCTACCTACCTACCTACCTACCTATACATCTACCTATCTCTGATTTCCCTTAGTTTCCCCTCCCTTTGGAATGTAGGGATGCGAGGAGAAGTTGTGGCTATCCTTCTTTAAATGAATTTTCATGGAAATTATGGCACCTGGAGGCAGTTGTTGATCACAAAGAAGGTGGGGAGAGTGAGTGAAAGAAAAACTTATCTACAACTTCCTCTTCAGGCAGGCATTCAATTACGCTTGAGTTTCATTAAAAATTTAGCTCTCTCTTTTCAAATATTTAAGCCCTCCTGACATTATACAACTGGCTGAATATGCTGAATATGCCTTTGGCTAAATTGGCACAGGGGTACCATGTCTGTATCACTGTGGGAAGAGAGGGAGAGAGAGGGGGGGGTGGAAAATAAGTTGAAATCCAGATCTATTGAAAACAATTGGGCAGAGGGGGGTCAGTTTGATAGCAATTGCAAGTGTGAGTGTGTGCATGCATGGGATGAGTATGAGTGCCAAGACACCTTTCTAAATCACCCCTAGTGAGTTGACAGCTAACATTGCCTTCTACAAGACAGAATCGCTCAATCAATAAATCTCTGCACTTTCAGTTGCAGAAAGTTGGCTAAAGAGAGGACCTAACTCTAGAGAAGTTCCTGCAGATAATATAACAAATATACAAACAAATAAACAAGCCAGGCAGCGTCTTTGAAGCACAGTGTAAGCAGTGCAAAAAAAGTTTGAAGGAAGTTTCAGGCTGTACTGCCTGCTGCTTCAGATTAGAAGAAAAACATTTCCTGCTATATCTGGGTAGCCATCTGTCACCTAACATGATTGGGAAGAATGAGAGGGGGGAAAGCAACTTACTATTGCAGGAATTCATTCTCTGCATCCAAGGGTATACTGGCGTGGAGCACTTTTGATCCTCGTTGTCCCCGAAAACGTGCTTGCTCTGTGAGCATTCTGACTTCCGGGCTTGTTCCTGGCCGAACTGAACAGGCTCCTCTAGGCTAGAAAGAGAACAGCCTGTCTCTTTCTCCCTGTAAAAACCAGATGTCCCGTAATCGCAGGCTGGACTCCGGTTGTAAGCTCCGTTGGTTTGCTGGTAGTAAGGCGCGGCCGCGTAACCTTTCTCCTGGACCCCACCGCCCCCAGTTCCATACGTGCTGGGATAGTGCCTTAAAGGATCCGCGTAGCCCGTGGAATATAAGGGGAGCTGTCCCAGGAAGGGTTCTTGACCCCCGGCTAAGCTCACCGGAAAAGTAGAGTTGACAAAATAAGAACTCATTGGAAATAATAATAATAACAATAACAATAATAATAGTTAACCAGAAGAACAGCGTCTGTTCTTTCCCTTGCTCTTTATGATTTGTTGCGTTTTATAGTCCAAGCGGTTTAGCTATTAGCAGTATATGGGAGATTGGGTTTTAGCTGAAGGGGGATGGCCGCGTGCCAACCAGGGACATAAGGGAAGAGAACCATCTGATCACGCGCTGACCAATAGCAGGAGTCGGAGGCTGCGAAATAGCACCCTAGAGGGGTTAGCTCTGCACAGGGGACCCCCCAGAACAAACCAGTGAAAGCATCTCTGCCACCAACACTATCACCTTTAAACAACAGAAACGCCCCCCCCCCCATGCACCACTCTTTACCCCTGTTTCTCTCTCCACACTCTTTATCACATATCTAGGAAAATCTATTGGGGGATATATAAATATATATATGGTAGTAATAAACAAACATGGGAAAAGTGAAAGATATGAAAAATGACACCAATCTTATCCTTGCTGCTACTGTGGAGAGGGAGGAGGAAAACATGGGAAATATTTTCAACTTGAAAAGTTTGTGGTTTTCATATAAGTACCTGGAGGAAGAGAGTTGGAAGGCATATTATCTCCCTCCTCCACACACCTTTGGGTTCAAGTGGGGGCAATGGGGAGCCTTTACTGTACAGCCAGTTCAAGCGCTCAATTGCTGCATCTGGAGAAGGGAGATAAATTCCAGCCAGCCTCTTTTGGTGCGTCCTCTGAGCGCAGGACAGAGCTCAGAATTATTAAACTCCTCGGGAGGTTCAACCGACCGGGCATCTGGAGGATGGGTTTACAATTTATTCTCCGCACACCCGTCCCATCTCCAACTTTCCTGCTTCCACCTGGGTATGTGTTTCTACCCTCACGCGCCTATTTTGTGTCTCGGATCTAACCCAATCCCTCCCGTGTAAGTTTGCGCCCGTGTCCGAAGTCCGAGAGAGCCATTGCCGGTGTTCGAGCTCCGCTCCCACGACATTCTGCGCAAAGAACGGTGCCCTCTTGCGTTTTTACAGTTCAGGCCGCATCTTTGGACAGGTTAGAGTTAAAGGCAGCTGCTGGTCTGACTGCCAATCCCCCTCCCCCATTGATCATCTAACATCAAATTATGAAATTCAAAGCAGGGGATAGTCCCGGGGTGAGAGATGTCAGAATGGTTTATATGAATTTTGGAGGCAGAGGGGGAAATTCCGGTTTTCTATTTAGTGCGTTTGAATTTGCAATAAATTCGGGAATAAAATTAAACTCGCTTCTAATTCTTTGGTCTGCTTTAAAACTTTTTAAAAAGATAACTATAAAGGGAATGAAAAAGTTGACCTAAAGGCTGGAGTTTGAAGTTTGACTTCTCCTCACCAGTTCTCACACTTGGCGGGCAAGCCTCGATCTCCAGCGATAAAATTACCCTGCCTTTAGCACGCTTATGGCAGATAGTTTTTAAAAGATGTGCCCCTTTATTCCCCTCTCCCCAATTCCACTTCTTTTCTATGCAATTGTGAATTCAAGCACTCTTATAACAATGTTCTGGTTTCTTCTAGTAGTTTCAAACTGTAAAATGCTACTTGCCCTGTGTATCATATTGCCACCACTGTCATTCTCATTCTCTCTGTGTGTTCTCTGTCTCTCTCGCTCCTTTTACCCCGACCAATTTATCCATCCGTTCATCCAGCTCCTCTTCCATCTTTTCACAAAAAATAGCCACTACAGCGTGCTGTTTTCGATTCTTAAAAAACTTTGAAGCATTGTTTATCGATCTCACATCCTTCATCCCCAATCTGCAAACATACACACCTCTTTCTAAATTCACCCGTATTCCTGATTTCCTTTACCTACCACAGGATTTCCCTGGGCTTTTGAACAAATGAAACTGTAAAGCAACTAATCTCTCTATCATCCCTTGATTACAGATGTGCAATCTGTTCATAAGAATTCTCCACCACACACCCTCAATTGCTCCCAGACCGGATTTACATGGCAATGCTATCCCTTTTAATGACCAATGCGATTTTTTTTTCTGTCAAGGGTTAAGGAACCACAAAATACGTTGGTTTACTATCTAATTTGTTAGCCTCTGTTTTAATGGCATAGAAACCCACATGGTCCCAACACTACTATGGTAGAACTCTTAGAATGAAAGGAAATTGCAAGCAGGGGGAGTAATTTTTGTTTGTTTGTTCAAGGCACTCTTTCCTTTTCTTTCTTTTTCTCTCTTACACACACACACACACACACACACACACACACACACACAAAACACACACACACACAAACTACCCAGGTCTTTGATTTGTGTTCCTGCTGATTCTTCCCCCCTTATCCTTTATGTTCTGAGTACCTCCTAACTTTAAACTAATCTGTTTTACTGATATGTAAAAATGGAGAAAATTGGGTGGAAGAAGAGTAAGAAAGTGGATCTGAGCAAAAACAACCCTAATTAATTTCAAATCAACACAATACTTCTGTTACTTGCTTAATAACAGGGAAATCTCACAGATTGGTGAGTGGATTATTTGATTATTTGAATATTTAATGTTAAGAACTGGTACTGGAAATACACTTTGTGGATGGGTGAATGTGGGCAAAGAGGCATTGGTCTGGTAAAGGATGGTTTAGGGAACAGAAAATAGCTAAAATTGAAATATATAATAAATACATTAAAGAGTCTCTAATTTATATTCTTTACAATGAGAAAAGCCTAGCCCTTTTCAGACCTTTTTGTGTGTTGCAGAAAAGTTCCACTATTCAAATTTGGCAATTCAGATGGAACATTTTAAACGATGCAAAATTTTTGAAACTTTAAATCTGAAAATAGGTAAACTCTAAAGTTGAACCACAGATTAATTTATGCTCCGCCAGTAGTTATTTATTGTCCAGATATGAAGAAAAAACTTCCTATGTGCCAAATCCTGGAAATAATAACTGCTTTCTATGTAACACATGTATTTTGATTTTACAGCTGTTAAAAAGAATAAATCAATACCAGAAAATGACTTGAAAGCCTGCTGAATGCTAGTCTATCTTTTAAGTTGGGTGTATGTTGTACTAGTGGGGAGAGAACAGTTTCAGTAATCAATATTTTGGGTCAGAATAATCCCTTTTTATTGCAATTTGTTTATCAATCTATTTATTTGTTTGATTCTATATCCCCCATCTCAGATATTATCTAACACCATAGGTAGTTGAGAATATTTATTTTAATGCATAGCCCACCAACCTTTTCTTCTTCTCTTCTAAATCTAATTTTTCTTCCTCCTTCCCCCTCTGATTACTGTGAAAATATAGGTCCCTTGGCAAACTTTTATGGTGGGCAAATATTTTTCAACTAATATTTTTATTAGTTGAAAATAACATGAGCCAGCTATAGGGCAAAGAAACTCTTTTCTATGCCCTGTTATTGTTAGGAGATACTGACAGAGCTTTTTTTAAGCTCAGAAAATTTATCTTCACCAGTTTAAGGCATAAGTATGTGAATAATTAATAAAGATTAACAGTATTTGTTTACAGAAGTATGTAGCTGGTGCTTTGCTGAAAATGTGCTCCATGTTTCTGACCCTCCCCCTCCTGTTTCCTCTCCATTCTTTCCTGCCTTTTTGCTTTAGCAAAATCCAATTTTAGAAAGCACCAGGAAAAGTGCTGGTGCTGATGTGAGATAAATGAAGGGATTAAAATCTACACCTAAATATTTCTTTAGGCACATGCTAGGCCAGGGAATTATTTAGGGGCAAAAGGAGGGGAGGGAAAAGTTGAAGCAAGCTTAAGCAATCATTAAATTTTCAATAAGATATAGAATGGCAAGCAAGTAAGAAAATTCTATTTTTCCTTTGTAAATGGGAGTGTTGGAATTCAGCAAACAGCATGATCTTTGACAGAAGAATCAAATTGGTACCATAAACTTAAGATTGGCCTTTAAACACACCCTGCGCGCGCGCACATGCACACACACACACACACACACACACGGAGGGGGAGTGGAATTGAATAGCCTCATAAATTTATTTAGGATCATAAAAGTATTCACAAGAGATGAGCTTCTTTTGTCTTACCACAAGTCTAACTGATGTTTATATTGTGGGCATTTATAAAACCTACTAAAGGCATACAACTCATCACACACACACACATTTCGTCTTAGCCTCTCAATTTCCTCTTTTCAAACATATAACCATTCAATTTTAATTTTCAGCCATTTGTGTTTAATTTACCTCACTTCCCCTACAATGTATAATTATCTTTTTAATGGGATCACAGGGGATTTTTTTCCCAAAAAGAGCATGGGGAAACTACCTTTCATTACTTTATCAAAAGGATTTAGCTAATAATTAACTAGAAGGGGAAATGGGTGTTTAGAATAAAGTCAAGATACAAAACAAAACAAACTAGCTGCCATCACATTTTTTAAAAAAATCTTTGATTAAAAAAAACAAACAGAAATGCTGCAAAACAATGTTTTAATAGATTTTCCAGCTCTCTGAAAATAACAGAAGTGGTATTTGTCACTTGGCTATCTTGTGTGATGAGAGGTATTCTAAAATAAAAGTATCTCAAAAAGCCTCTATCTGAAAGAGGATTTACCCCATTATAATGATATTTACACAAAAATCATAGTCTATATTAACTGGAGGAATACATATAATTCAGGCATGAAGATAAAATAATTTATATTTAGTCTGATTTGGATAATAAGTTTGTGTGTGAGAGCGAAAGAGATGGGGGGGTTTCTACTCCCCAATAGCCTATGATTAATAAAATTTTGTTTTAGAAATTTTTTTAACAGTAATCGCAAACTGTCTTTCTGTTGAAAATTGAATAGGTCTGTCAGACATACATTGAAAAAAAGTATCCGAAACAATTTACCAGAAACAATTTACCAGAAACAATTAAGCAAAATATCTTACATAATTCCTTAGGAAAAATATTCTTAACTGTTACAAACATACGCAGGTCCCATCTGAAATGTTCTTAAACATTCCACAAAGCTGTAAAAATACTTCATGCAAATACTTTAAAAAGAATAATTTGCTACCATGAATGCACTTTAACACATACTAACACAATCTTAAATAAAATAGACGGGTAGAAATTCTCTTCAGTCACTTTTCCAGATTCTGTAAGGCATGCCTAATCCATTACATGACAAAAATACATTAAATGTAGAAAATGAAAATCTTGGTCTAGTTAAACTAGTTTTCATGGGAAATTAATCATTGTAGAGCATGGAAAGGAACTCGAAGAGTTATTTAATTGGCCGGTAGATGGCAGCAAACAGCACCGAATGAGAAGGCAGAGGAAGAGTAAAAAGGCGAACAGTTAAAATAAAAGAATATGTGCTCCATAGGGGAGGGGTAAATTGCACACATATAAACAACTTAGCTGTGTTGTTTAAGCAATAGGAATTCTTTCACGAGTGGCCTTTATCTAAATGGGTAAAACCCACTTACAGGCCATCTTTTAACCTGAATAATACTCCCCCCTAAGAGGAAAAAAAAAAAAGGCCAAAATGAACACATGAATATCGGAAAACAAGCGATTTAGAAATAGTACTAGTTTGAAAATGGAATAAAACCTATTGTATTAATACAACAACGGAAAACAAGCGGTTTAGAAATAGTACTAGTTTGAAAATGGAATAAAACCTATTGTATTAATACAACAACAACCATGATTCAACTCTCAAATGCCTGTATAGTACAGAAGGGTACAGAGAATCAGAAAGACCACATTAAATCTATGTCCAACAGTCATAACTGCATATGAAAATGAAGAAGACATATAATATGCATGTTTTCATTCCCCCCTTTTTTATTTCATGCAGTTGTGATTTATTTGCAGCAAGGTAATGTTGATTTAAAAAAACCTTCAAAGGCTAGGAAGTTAGATCATTTTTGTTTTTAAAATGTTTAACTAGCTGTTGAATACATTTCAAACTGTAGAAGCAGTATTCGGCACCAGGTAACAGTAATTATTTTTCAATAATATTTTTCAGATACTTAAACACTTCACTGGCAAATGGTTAATTGAACACATCAGTCAATAAACATTTTAAATTATTCTGTGAAGGTCCCTCCCCCTTTCAAAAAGAAGCATATCAATTAGAATCCATTCAAAAATATTATCATTTATAGAGCAACAAAAGGAAAAACAAAATTTCTAAATACGGATGGAACAACATGATCAAACATTATTATCATCATCTCTATACAGTAGGGTTGTATCTTGCAACACATATACATACATGCACGTGCATTTTCTGTTAACGCCCAAATGTGGGCAGTGGATTATAGTCTGTTACCGCCCTTATATTACAGTGTTGGGGTCTTTTACATCTTTCGTTTAAAACCTAGTGCAGTTGAAATTTTTCCTTAATTGTATTTATTAACTGTTGTGACCATACTCTGTGTTCTGTCTCTCCTCACCCTCCCAGCCTTACATAGACGAACAGTTCCGTTAGAAGAAAAATCACCTACGTCCATACAGAACACCCTGGAGAAAAGGATCTAAATCGAACTGGCTGCTGTACAGAACTTCTTAAAATGAGTGGATTCTCTCGCTGACAAGTAAGTCTGGATAAATCGTTCTTCCTGGGATGGGGAAGAGATTTGAAGGGTAAAAAAAAGAATGAAAAGAAGCCTACAGAAAGGGTTGTATCCCCCTATGTTAATATATATATATATATATATATAATTATTGAGGTAGCTCGAATTCTCTAGGTGACATGGATATCTTAAGCCCTCGCCCTCCCCCTTCCTTCCTTCCTTCCTTCCTTCCTTCCTTCCTTCTTTCCTTTTTTCCTTCCTTCCTTCCTTCCTTTCCTTCTCTTATACAATACATTTAACAATAGCTTTTTACCATCTCATATTTTTAATGTATATATTTTCATATAAAAAAGAAAGCAAATCTGTATTCGGTTCTTTGCTTCCTTCAAATAATATCAGCTTCAATTTTAGAAAATTATGAACTTACCTTTTGATGCCCATCCTTCTCTGGATTGGGAGGAGGAGGAGGAGGATGAAGAGGAGGAGGCGAAGGAGGAGGAAGAGGGGGGAGATTGAATTGCGTTTGCTTTTATATGTAAGCTGACAAATATTGTCCCAACCTGATAGCCGTCCATTGCGACTTCTGATAGCTTTTTCCTTTGCCGCGTCCTTTTGTACAGAAAACGGAGTAACTTCCCTCTTTGAAAAATGACCAAAGCTTCCAGACGGTACCGATTCTCCATTTCCCCCTCCATCATTAGAGAGAGAACCCGAATCAGTACAGAGAGAATTGGAAAAGGAAGGATAGGTGGGGAATCAATAATATTAGCTATTTAAGCTTAGTCCCAAATATCTGCGTACATCTGTGCGAGAGTATGTGTGTGTATGTGCGTGTGTGTGTGTGTGTGCATGAGAGAAACTGTGTGTGTGTGTGTGTGTGTGTGTTTGTGCCGGCGCTTCCCCTGCTCCTCCTCTATTTTTAGCCCTATNGTGGAAGAGAAGTCCAGTTCTCTCCAGGAGAAAAGGTTTCTTTCGGGGGTAATTAAGCGATAAAGCAATTCAGAGGTGCAAAAGTTTACGCTCATAAAACAGTACAAAGTAACCAAGGGTTGGGGTAGAGGGGAAGGAGGGAGGGGATGAAAGATAGTGGAAGAGGTGGGAAAAAAGGAAGGCGAAATTGCTTTATGGGTTCAGGAAATGCCTTCTCGGCGGCTGGACGCCTTGCCCTTCCTGAGATGCCTCCTCACCTTGCGGTCTCATCCAGGGGAAGAGTTGTGTGGGAGACGGGCTCTGCTCCGAATTGTCTGCGTCCTCTCCCAGGCCGGTGGAAGCTAGTTTGCAATCCGGATACTGTACCAGGTCGGATTCCTGAGCGCTGAAGAGGCTTTGTCTTTGCAACGGGTCATAGCAGTAGAAGTTGCTGGGATCCCCGTGGCACACTACGGCGCAGGGATTCTGTTGGTAAGGGGAGCTGGAGAGAGAGGACGCCCCGTGGTAGAACTCCTGGATCTGGGTGGGGTGCTGGAAAGTGCCCCCCGTGCTCGGCCCGTACACCACCGTCGGTCTCCCTCCGAGTTCCTGGGCGAACCCACAATCGTAGAAGTTGGGGCGCAGGGAGTCCCCAGTTTTGTACTTGGAGAAGAGGGAGTTGACAAAATAGGAGCTCATTGTCATATGAATAGCTTATATTAAATAGGTTTAGATCTAGGTACCAGGGTTAGGGGAGATGAAAAGCCACAGGATGTTAGAAGATAACGAAGAGATGCCAACCCACGGATCTTTGTGATTTCCAGGAATATATACAGATATGCATAGATTTTTTTAAAAAAAATTCTGAGGATGGAGTCAAAACTCTTTTCCAATGAACATGTATCGGATTCCGCTTTTTAAAATTGCTGCTGTTGTTGTTTGTGACTGTTGTTATTATTATTCCTCTCTGTATGTGTGTCTCTCTTTCTCTCTCTCTTCTCCTTTTTCTTCTTTTTTTCCACCTTCTTCTTTAACCCCCCCTTAAAATATATATGTATATATATCGGCACTTAAAAAAAGTTCTCGCTTTACATTTCCAAGGAGAGGTGCCAGTTCATAAATAGTTTTCCGTGATTTACTTCGGAGCAAATGAGTTTGTTCATATTTCGCAGTGTCTTTTCTGGATCATTTGCATCTATTACGGAACCCTCATCCTATTGGTTTCCACATACTCCACACGGACTCTGAACAGCCTGCGAGCAGGAAGGAGAGTGAGTGGGAGACAGAGAAGGAAAGAGAGAGAGAGAGAGAGGGAGGGAGGGAGGGAGAGAGAGAGAGAGAGAGAGCGCGGAGAGCGCGAGGGAGAGAGGGAGGGGGTGGGTGGGGTAAATATAGAGATTAAATATGCTAAACTATCTACGTTAATGAGATATCTCTCGCCTTCGCCTCGCGACAAATCATCTACCTAAGCCCACCCAAAAGATTGATATTTGGGGAGGGTTGAAAAATTAAAGAGAGGCTTTGCTCCCATCGTTAATTTTCATTTTTTTTTAATTTTATTTTAACGAGGCAGTTTTAGCCCTTTGGAAAATGTCAGAGTTGCTTTGGAAAACTGTAAAAAGAGGCCGGATTTAATTGCTATCCCTTTTTTTTCTAAAAGCCTCCTATAAATGTAATTGGTATTTTAATACCAAGTTATCAAATCCTACGGCGTCCTATAGCCTCAACATATTTTAAAACAAACGAGATAGTCAGATTTAACATTTTAATGATCAATTTCCTTATTATTGATAAAGGCTTAAGCATCAGCGCCAAAAGAAAGAAATGGTCCATTTGTAAGGGCCTCCTTCCCAAAAAAGACAGGGCCTTAAACTGTTTAACAAACTATACTGCACACAAGAAATAAAGCTAAGTAAAAAGATGTGGTGACACACAAACACAGACATACACACAGAAAGGGAGTCAAACAAATAAATATTTTAAAAAGCAAAACAAAACAAAACCGCACACACTCCAAGATGCTCTTGCTGGTTATATTGCACTACATAAAAAGCTGTTAGAGGGTTTTTATGAGTTCTTTCTTCCACAGCTATAAAAACCCAGGTTTCGATTGGCGCCTAAACACCATTATTGCAAGATGTTGGGGTGTCAATACTGAATTAAAATGATTAGAGTTTTTCATATATAACATTGACTTTTCAGCTCCCTGATATCACCCCTCCTACCACACTCTCCTGTTATGTCTCCCCCCCCAATCCTCCTCTTCTGTTCCAGCAGAGAGGAAGATATCTCCCACCTCCCCTTAGCTCCCAACCAACACAGTTGTGAGTCTTATTAACTGAGCGTTCACATGTGCCATCTTCAGAAGTACCCCCCCCCCCAACAAAGCCTAGTTCAAACCACAAGGTGCTTTTAACTAGGAAGGATGCTGAAGAAAAATGGGGGGTGGGAACAAGAGTGAGGTTATAGGAGAAAGGTGGAATTTTTTCCTATTTTCCTGACATCGCTTTAACTTGCTTTCAGCTTTTGCTAACTCAACAATCCGACCACCACCATATGACCACGGAAAATAAATTCTAATAGTCCTTTAGGTCTATCAGCAATTATTTTGTTGGAGCTTTCTGTGTCCTCCCTGCTCCAAAAGATACCAATCCTAATCCTCAAATATAAAGTTTCCCTACTATATAAGCTTGTTTCTCCAGGTATCTTTCACTGATATAGAGAAATGTCATTTCTGCATTATCTGAAATACAGATTTTTGCACCGCTGAGTTCTCACTTTTTGTATTGGGAAGGGCCCAACACTCCAGCTTCTCTTCTCTGCCTCCCTGCCATCGTACAGTTATATTTGGTTAACATCCCAAAGATGAATCAAAATAATTCCAATCCAAAACAGAAATGCCCTCTGAAAAGAAACCATTTCAAAGTCCTGTACCTCTTTTAAGTCAAAATCCTGAGATATATTTTTTGGTGGGAAAATAATTCATATTACCTTACCATGTTCAGCTAAGAGGGAAGGAAGAGGAAAGAAACAAAACAAAATGAGAAGGCTTAAAATTATATTTTAAATGTAAGAACAAGTCTGTTTCATTTCTTTAAAGGCTGTTTTTCCTCCAACCCTTCTCCCCTTTCTAAAAGATAATAATTCCTTGAAATACTTGAAATGAGTGCTTAAAAATAGAGCTTTTATTTCTATATTTTCTTTTCCCGTCCATTGAATGTAAGAAACACTTTCTTAAAAAAAAGTTTGATTATTGCTATTCATAAATAACAGAACAAAACAGGGGCCAGCTTTTTTATTTTCCAATATTTTCTCAGATTTATAAGATAACCTTTAAGACTTTTACTGAGAACTTAACCCCCGTATTTCCTTAACAACTAAGCCACAAACTTTCTAACATTTACCTGTGAAATGCAGTCCTATACCACTGAATATAACAGGTATTATCTCTGAATAAGGATTGCTCCATAAGCTTTCTCAAAAACAATTCCTCACAACCAATATGTATTTACAACCAAGCCTCAAATACTTAGAATTTGCTGGCATTTAAAAAAAAAGATCTACCTGGATGACATCTTGGAAGGCATTTGTTAATCTGCAAATGCTTACCAGGATGTGTCTGTGTATGTGTGTGTGTTTTTTTTTGGGGGGGGGGATGAAAGGGAGAGAAAAGAGAAAGAGGAACCAGAACCAAGATAAGATAGCTGAGTTATCCTGGAAGTTAGCATTTTAACCAACGTGCAGGGCAATTTAGTGTTTGATATCCTATGAAGAATTGTCATCAGCATTAAATCATTGGTATACTGTACTCCGGGCCTCTGATGAAAGGCAAATGTTTCTATTATAGGGGATAGGGGAGAGGGGGGGGGGAAACCACTAGAGAAAGTGAGAATATAATTTACAAATACCCAGCGGAGGAAAGATTTATTAGAAAATCTTTCCCCAAAATACATCACTTGGTAAATTGTAAGTTCTCATTGTTTTATAGCTTCATGAGTGGATTAAAAAAAGAAGGGTTTTTTCTATTAATTAGCACAAAGTACATCTGGTTAAAAGATTGCAGCTTTTATCTATTTTAGAGTTGCTGAACATTGCCAGGAATTGCAGTAGAAAAGGGAGGATGGGACTCTCTGTTTTCTTGTTTCCCCCCCCCCAATCCACCCACATCCAATCTCTCTCTTTTTTCCCTTGAAGTTCAGTTTGGTAATGTAGAAAATCCGATGGGCGTCCTTTAATCAATTTATGGACTCTTGACTGTTTCTGACATTTTGTTACCATTTTTGTACATTTTTCTTTATAAACCATCTTTATTAAAATGGGTTCTGATTCTAGTTTTTAATATCTTTCCGCGCTTCCTATTGGGTTCCTTTGTGGGCAGACAGTGCCTTTGAATGGGACATTGGAAAATACTTCTTTCACCTACACACAGAGAACCATGGGTGCGCACAAGCACATATGTATACTTTTACATATACACACATACACATTTATATCCTTTAAAAAAAAAGAGAGAGGATGGTGTTGAAGTTACTTGGTCCTAGTTGTATTTTGAAAGACTCACATTACAGGTAAATTTGTCTTTGATTCACTACTTTTACACACACACACACACACACACTTAAAAAAAACAGAGAGGTTGGTGTTGCAGTTACCTGATCCTATTTGTATTTTGAAAGAACCACAGGTATATTTGTCTTTGATTCATTTAGAAAGTCCCTATCCTTTTCTAATGTAACTAAGCACAAATACAAGATATTCTGGAATTTGTGTTGCCAGAGAATTCCTCCACATTCTTCAAAAACTGGACAAATACACAGGAGAATAAACAGCTCTTGACACCACTGCAAATATTTAAGAATATTTATGACGATTCTCATAAAATTGCCATACTATATAATGATCTACAATGATTCCCATCAAAGTATGCCCAGATCTCTGTTGGCTGGACAACACATGTCATCTCCTAAAATTTGTGACCTATCTTTCCTCTCTAGCTAAATAAATCCTACATTTTGAAAATAGCCAAATCCTTCTGATATCACAACACAAGTAGCGGGGCCAAAGAACATTGCTTGGATTGTGTCGTTTATGCGTTAAAGAACTATTTGCTTACAATCACACACAGAGAGGGGGGTGGGAAACAGAAGCGCGCGCGTTTAATCATACTCTGGGTAACAAGTTCAGCATTAAATTGTTCCCACAAAGCTTTGTTAAGACAAGTGGAGTTGCGCAAAAACAATTATACAAACTCGGGGTGTGTGCTGGCGATCTTCTGGCGGCCTTTGTGTGACAAGTTTTCATCTTTCCTTCTTTGCTCACCTTCCAATGGACCGAGTATTTATACCTTCTGAGAAGAAACGCTTCAGAAAGATCGCCATGATTAGTCCTATATTTTATGCTTGGGAATTTATTCACAATGGTTTCTAGCAACAATTCCGTTTATTGTTCGTAATGAAATCAAGGTGTAGACTCAAGAGGGAAAGATACCGCGGTCCGGTTATTTCTACCATGGAGTGATAGCACCATCTAATGGTCATTCGAAGTAAGACGCAGATGGGTGGGTTAGGTAGATTGGCTATGATGGATCCCCCCTCTTTTCCATTGTGTGTATTTTAAACGATTGTTGCCTATGATGGAGGAGTGTATAAAATTTATTCTATGACNAATATGGAAAAGGGGGGAAAACACTATGTATGGAGCATTGGCCGGAATTTATACAATACGATGCATTATTAATGATAGGATAGATACTGAATCTCCCAAGCTAGAAGCTGGGAAGGAGCGAAACCACGCGCAGCGGAGTCGGTAACCCACCGTTTGCTTTACCAGTTCTCAAGTGAAGCTAGCAGGGAAAAGGTGCAGGAAGGAGGCGGCGTGGCAAAGAAAATAAGATTAAGATTTGCAGTGGGCAATGGTGGCAAGCTAGGGCAAGAAGAGAAGAAATAAAAGAGAACTGCCGCGAAATCAACGGTGGGAAGAAGTGAGATGCAGTAGTAGAGAAACGGACCCACTTGGTCGATCCAAGCAAGGGAGGCAGCCTTAGGGATTACGCAGGGTAAATTCTTCCCGTGGGTTTGATTTTGTGTTCCCTCTCTCTTTGAAGTCTCTCCAGGCTGGGTATACACATTACAGATATAATCTTCTCCTTTCTACCCCTGTTCTCCCTCCTGTTTAGTACCCAAGAGAAAAACGCGGGCTTGAGAAAGTCAGAGAGTGGAGAGAGATGCCCGCCCTAACTCGCGGTCTCGGGGCGGGTTTTATAAGCCGACATTCCACTGGCATCTGCCGCCGCTCCCCATCCCCACCCCCCGCGAAGATACAGTCTCTGACCCGCACCAGCATCGCCCATCCGAGCACTGGGAGACTTACTATTTACTATTTCAGTTGCTACCTCCCCATCCCTCCCCGCTCCAGTAGCTCCCCTTCTGAATGCCATTCAATTCTATATGTAATTTATTCCACTGCCACAGGCGTTGAGCCTCGGAGCTCGCTTTGCTTTTTCTGGTGGCGGAAGGGGGAGCGGAGGGGGGGGGGGCTGCGAAGGAAAGATTACAACAGATCTCTATTTAAGCGTGTCAGCTCTTCTGCTGGACTCAATTATAGGGAGAAGGAAAATGTGACCAGCTGGTTACTCTGTTTTTTTGCTGGGGAAGCAAGGAAAGCTTCCAGAAAAAAGGAGGGGGGAATTGGGGGGGGGGCAGAGGGAAGAGATATTAAAAGACACAAGTTTCACTGAAACTTATCAAAGCACTCTGTGACAAATAAGAATGAAACTGGCCTTGCAGATTGGCCGAGGACCTCCTTTCAAGGTTAAGTTGCCCCCCCCCAAAAAAGTGGAGAGGGATATGGATGGGGATGTACACATCACGAAGCTCCTCATAGAAGGGTGGGGAGTACCAAAACTGACAAGTTTCCAGAGTCTGTGGGGCTGGGGGGAGGTGGGGGGGGGTTAAGTCTCCTATTAGGAGCAGCAAGACTGGAATTCAGCAGTGACAAAATAAAGGCACATGCAGACATCATTAGCATAACTTTCTGAAACTATTTAGCCAATCTCCTAACCTGAAGCCAGGGTAGGTCTGAGACAGCTTTCAAAGGAAAAGAAATCCATCTTCTCTCTCTGCCTTCCTTCCCTTTTCCCAAAATTCCACCAAAATGTCAGGTGTATTTTTCCCTGAAAGCCATAAGTTTCTTCTGTGCCTCTTAGAAGGCTTTCCTGAATGGCAGTAGCTGTTTGGATGTGTGTTTATTTTCCCAACCCTTCTCTTCTAGATATCCAGGAGGAAGTGTTAAGCAGAATGAAAAAAGAACAATGTCATGGGGAAATTGTGGCTTGCAAACTTTATTTTAACTCCTTTCTTCTGCCNTAGGATTCCTGTTCTGATGGAATGGCCCTTTTGAAAACAAAACAACCCCACCGGGAATGTGTGTGTCCCCCATCTTTTTTAAAATATGAAATCTGTGAAATCAAAATTGATGGCTATGCAATCAACAAGAATCAACCTCCAGAGCAGGATCTGAGAGAAACTTCTGAGTTTATGTGTTTGCAATCCCTAAGGAAAGTAGGGAAGGGAAAGGAAAGGACAAGAAAGGAAGGGAAAGTGAAACAAGACCGACTTTTTAATAGTCTGTCTCGTTCTTCTTCTCTTCCACCCTCCACCCTACACCGTGGTTTTCAGAAAACACCCTGTCTTCAGCATACAGGAAGCCAGAAGCAGAAACAACAGAAGAAATAAATATTTAACCATTTGTTTGTTTAAGGGTTACTTTTGTAGGCAACCTCAGCGAGAGAAGGGGGGAGGGGTGGGAGAGATTCCTTTGGAGGCAAACGTCATAAAAGGAGTTCAGCACCATCTTAGCCTCCCCCACCCCCAATATTACCTCTTCCCCCCCTTCCCCCGGCCGCTGATCCTGGTTTCTCCCCGAGGCTTTCCCGCCACCTCCACCATTCTCCCGAAGGATCTCACCTGTGCTTCGCATCCAAGGATATATTCGCAAGTTGCTTTCGTGCCGCAAGTCCGTGTCCCTCTGGTCGCTTTTGTTACAATTGGGCTTGGACACGTCTCCCGGACACATCATGGATAGGTTTTGCTCAAAGGGGGAACAATGCATGTTGAAGGAGCTGGTGTCCAGACCGTAGCCGCTGGAATACATGCCGGGGGGCTGGGGGTGCATACCTCCCCCACTAGGGTAGAGACCAGGCATGGAAGCAGCGAAAGAGGCCGTGGAACTGGAGCCATAGCCGGTGCGCTGGGCATTGGAAGCGAATGCGCAAGAAGTTTGCTCGGGAAATACTCCGGAGGGGAAAACCGAATTTGCGGCCTGATATTTAGAAAATAAAGCATTCGCATAATACAATGAACTCATAATCTGGCCGGGTGATTTGTAGGGCGGGACGTTTTNTAAGATGTGTGATAGGAGTTAAATCAAGCAAGAATTGAGGTGGATGAAATTACAAGGAAGCTTCTTCCCTGCAGAAATTTCCACATCTGGTAAACTTCTTTAAGTCAGTGAAGGTTAATGTTAGGGTTACTTCCTTCCTTTTCCAGGTTGTGTTTTATTTTATTCTACCCCTTCCCCTGAGCGGAGAAAAATGGTATTTGGATTTTTTCATTAGGAATTTCGGAAGCTGCTGGGCTCAGTTAGTCGATATGGGAATTCCTCAAAGCAAGCATCCTGTCTTTGACCACAACTATTTTACTCGGGCATTCAAAGAATCTGGATTCAAACCAGAAATCAATTCTGCAGTCATTTCTTGCTGGCCTAATACAACTAACAAGGCTTTTGAGTAAATGGATTTTATCACTGGTTCTTGCCAGAGTTAAAAGACCCCCCACTTTACCTCTCTGAAATGTGCAGATTAGCTTAGTATGTTTATTGTTTAGCAAAAAAGGGAGAGGGGATGTGAGTCTTTGGCTCTGTAAAAAGAGCAATAAAGCAGGATATAAAGGGGGGGGAATAAGCTGTCTGTGGAATGTGAGTTGTAAACTCTGCTGAACGGAAGGCTGTAAATGGCCAGTCTTGCTTTGGCAGTGGAATCTCCTAATTCCAGGCAAGGCTCAAGGAAATGCAGGGGTGGGGGGAGGGGGAGATAAGAGACAGAGGAAATAAACCCCAGTTTTCATTGCATTTGTCCAAATGGGGAAAGAAGCCATCAGACCCTCAATAAGGAGTGGGGAGTGTTTCATGCCGTGCCCTGGTTGTGCTCCGTCCTTCAATATTGTCTTCTTCCAGCACCAAAGCATAAAGGAGAATTTGCCCTGCTACCAGGAGCTGCTGCTATTGCAGGTTTCTATAAAGTGGAGGGAAAAAAGAAAGTTCTTGTTGACTCCCACTCCTCTACCCCCACCCCACAAGACTACAGCTGGGCTTTAACATGCAATCTCTAAACCATGGTTTATGGATTACCTAATAAGAAAGAAAAGTTAATTTGTTATGGTAGCCCCTGAAATTACTGAAGCTACTGTGCCTTCATGTCCATACACACACAGCCTTTGTTTCCCCCTCATCCCTTTTGGTCTCCTTTCATGCCATTTGGATAGAGATCTAGTCTGAATTTTTGCCTCAGCTCCCACTTTCCATCCCAGAGGTATCAAATAACTGCATGGGGCATATAGTACTTTTAAATAGAACTTTACCAGGACATCCCCCACAAGCCTGGGACTACAGCTTATATTGTAGCTGACCATGATGGTAGGTGTAGTCAACACATCCAACGGGTATTGGAGTGAGGAAAGCTGCACTAGAATATCACTAGAAAATTGGCGGATTTCAAAATAGTAATGGGTGATAGAATTGCCAAAGAGGGAGCCCTTCCTATTCCTATAGACATCCATTTAGTTTTCTGCCTATTGATCTGTGGACAACCTCAAGACTGTTCACTCTCAGGCTGAAATGACCANATTATTTTCTAATATTTTATTTTGATAATTTTATATGTGTGCGTATCTGTTTCACTATATTTCTATTGCACACACATACGCCCAATAATACACATGTCTTCTGTGGTTTGGGTGAGGATAAGTGTAACTGTATGCAATATTATAAGATCTTATCTAAATATTATCTATTTCTTTTCATAATCTGTAAAATCTATAAATGATCTTTTTAAAAATTTCTTTCTCAGAAATATTAGTGTACAGTTGAAGCCAAAGTTATAATTGAAAAATACTGGAGAAAATAATTTTAAACATCAAAATGTTACAGAAAGTGTGAGTGAGTAAAAATAATCTATTTCATCATTTTATTTTTACTTTGTTTCATTAAGAAATGGATGAAGCTTCACTTTGATTTTTCCTATTTGTCATTTATCTTTACATTTTGACAATTTAGCACCTTATCACCAATGAAAACAAAAACAATTCTGTATTTTTTAGTTATAAAAAATAAAATACTAATTATTTAAGATACCACTCCTTCTAATTCTGCAATTATTGCTTCAGGATGTGAAAGTACAAAACTGAAAAACTAAACTGAAATGATGTGTTGAATGTTTCTGAAATTTGTTACAAATTTATGTTGCCTTTCTGAGTTAAATCACTCTCATTTGTACTATTTTTTATTCTTTTACTTGCCACAGATAGATGTATCCCTATAAAAAGCTGAAAGGATAAATAAATATAGAAATTGAGATAAATCCAAGGAACTGAACATTCATATTTGGAATTTCATTTTGTTGGTATTATTATTAGTAGTATCAGTGTATCTTATTTACTGTTCTTTTGTCTTTGAAGACGCTGATTGAGAAAAAGGGAACCACAGGACACAGTTTCTCTTCTTTTCTTAACCAAGACTCTTTTTAGTCAGCCCTTAAGCAGACCATCACAAACTTTAACCCTCCATTCTGTCCCCAAAGTGGCCAAACTACTGACATTGGTAAGCTCATATGCCGGTATGCAGTGAGAATAAAATAACGTGATTTTAATATGATGTGATCAATTGAAGAGAATGCTGGATTTTTGCAATAGGATTGAAAGGAATTTTAAAATATGCCTAACAATACATGGAAGAAAATAGGAGTAGGGATTGGGAAGGAATATTTGAAATCTGCTCTCTCAAACATAGGCACCAGTTGGAGAACATAGGAAAACTTCCCTGCTCACATCAAATGAATGATAATCTCACCCATGTAAAGAAGCTCAGTGTCACTTCGCACTGTGAGATGAACGCCAATAAGTTTGACATAAATAAAAAATACAGTCATCACTGGACACAATATTCATAATGTTATTTTTAATTATTTTCCCCTTTTCTACGCATAGTAATCACAGAATACAAATCAAAAGGGTTGGTAAACTATTAAAGAATTTGCTATCTATCATATACATTGGTTTTACTCATCACAATATTAATTTCAGATTTTCTAGTGACAGTAAAAATGAAGTGGTCCATTGCCAAACATGTAAAAATATACATCAACAAAAACAGAATGAAATAAAATAAGCAAGAAAAAAAACAGCACCAGTAATCAGACGTAGAGGCACAAATCTACGAAGTGGAAGACAGGAATCTTATAGAATTATGTACAGCAATCGTCTTCTGCTAAGTTTTGTGTTCCCTTCATACATTTGGAGTTCACGGTTTTCTAAGGAAAAGTGCTAACCACGTCCACATTTTTACTTCATAAACCATTTCTTTTAAATTACAAGAGGATCAAAAAGAGAGGTTTTAAACAAGAAAATTTACAAATACTTGGACTATATGTATACCCACATAAAAACAAAACAGTTACCTAAAGAGACATTTAATAAGTAGATTTCTTTTTTGTTGTACAAAAACAAAATAAGAGAGAGTAATGTTAATATAGGTAGTTTCCCAAGTGTCAAGAAGCAGAAGAAAGAATCCTTTCAGTTTGCTTAGATGTTTGTTTCTTGTTTCAATGTACAGTCTATTATGTTAATTTTTACATTTTCTTCTAAATTTTTGTAACAGTGCGGGTCAGATTACTTTCTCTCTTTCCTTTCCTTTCCTTTCCTTTCCTTTCCTTTCCTTTCCTTTCCTTTCCTTTTTCCTTTCCCTCCCTTTCCATTTAGTTCCATTCTCTCTCTTTCATTTCCACGTTCACCCTTTCTTTTTCTTTCACTCTTCTTCATCTTCTTCAGCCTCTGGTTTTTCCTGGCTATTTGAGCCTGGCCCTGCAGGTTTGTTTTCTTTTTTCCACTTCATTCGTCTGTTCNGCTTAGTTTCCACTCTCTTCCTAATCATCTTAGCAACTACTTCCTTCACAGAAGTGGCTGAGTCTAATAAGCAAAAAATTAAATATTAAAGAGAGGCATTGCTGTTAATAATTAATACTGCTACCTATCTTTAATGGCAGTCTCCACAATTGTCCCGTTTTTTTGTTTTTTTTAGGGATATGGATGTGCGTGTGATTTCTTGGCATTTCATGGAAACATGAGGTTTGGCACAGGAAAAACAAGTTTATTTTTCATTTCACACAATTCCCCAAACAGGAAACAAAAGACAACAAAACAAAACAAGAGAAGGAAGGAAGAAGAAAGGGAGGGAGTGGGTGTGTGGAGGGGAGGGGGGGAGGTTTAGTTAGCAGGATATTCTTAAACCCAAGATGCACATTCATAAATACAGACACAAAAACATACATGCACATACAAAAACGGGGTGTGTATTAGACTCAAGGTAATGCTTTTCTTTCAATGAAGAAGTGTAGGAATAATCTGAATTGCACAGAGATGAAAGCCCAGCTTCTGTTTGGGGCAAAATGGGGTCCTTCTCTCCTTTTGCTCCCCCTCCCCATTTCTGCCTTCCCTGCACTTTCACCCCACAGAACTTGATGCCCGACACCCGTGGGCAATTTGGATCTCTAGGAACTAAGTCTTTTCTTCACAAGTTCTCTCTCCATTCCAGGGCTGGTGAGAAGGTGAGGAGAGGGGTGGAGGGGGGGGGGCAGACAAGCTTTTCTCTTCAATCTTCCCATTCTTTTCAAATGCTTCTTTCCTTCTGATCTGGATTTTCTGCCAATTCTGCAACACAAATCTTTCTTTCCTGCTTCGGTCCATTCCCAAGGGCAGGAGTTGTTCATGAAATGCTATCAAGACCAAGATGGTAGCAAAATGCACCGGGTTTTAATTTTGAGAAAAATTTAAAAAAAAAAAAAAACCCACCACCGCCATCATCATCACCATCATTGGCGCCCTCTTTCCTTCAAAAATGAAATGAAATTAAATAAATAAACTTCTTGGGAACTCATCTTCTAAATGAAATAACCTACATCCTGATTTGAAATTTACACATATCACAATACTGAACTCAACTCTTTTATTGGAAACATCTCCGGCATTGGGCAATGGGCAAGGAGAAAGAAGCCAACTCGCCTTTCATTATAAGTTTAATTTTTTTTAAAAAAAGATTCGAATTAAATTTTGTTGCATCTCCCTTC